GGGATCTTTAAAAAGCAGTAAGGTGGAACAAGAACTATAAGACTAATAACCTGTCTCTTATACACATCTGGTCAAGCCCCTCCATCGGCCAAAGCTCGTCGGGCAGTCGGACCAAAAAAAAAAATAGGCCTAGTTTTCCCATCCCAATACTGTACTGCCTACGATACGCCAAGCCAAATCAGTCTCAGCAATCGCTTCGTCTGGGTCTGATCAGTCAAGCAGAACATAACAATAGTGAATCGTTTCTAGAAGTCCAATTTTTTTTTTAAATCTCATTTTGGGAGAAGAATACGCTCCCCACCCATACCCACTCCCAGCTCGGGCATTCGGCCCTCAGATAATTAACGCGGCGCGCTAATAGTTACACCCATAAATACTTAGCCAGCCCTTCCACCCCAGTCGGACATCTTAGCCCCCCGCCCCCATAAATTATATCCTAGAGCCGCCCCTGTTCCCAAGTGCTACTAATCTACCAAGTGCTACTAATCTCCCAAGTGCTACGTTCAGTAGGCCTACCTCTCACGTGATAGTAGACATATAGCACCTCCCAAGTGCATATAGTAGGCCTATAGCTTATCTCAGGTGTTACCAAATTACAACATACGTCAACCTATGGTTTTAGTGGTTTTTTGTGTTATTAGTTCTATCTTATAAAGTGCGCACACGTTATTTACATAAGTAATAATAATAACAATGATTCGGCAAAAAATAGGCACGCATGAAGCGATGATGCAGCGGTTTTGTGTTTGAACAGTTCCTAATTTACATTGCCCTGCCAAATTATGTTTGACGAACGACATGAAACCACGGGGCTATGTAAAATGTATTTCATCGGACTACAATGAAAATAAGTTTGCTACTTAATACTTTATTGTGTTTTATCATTGAATATTATTTTGGTATTAGGAAAGATAGATCAGTCTTCATTATATATAATCACATTTCTGTATTATTATCATTATTATTATCACAACCATCATCATCCATCAACATCATCACCATCCATCTTCCATCATCATCACCACCATCCTCATCATCATCCGTCATCATCACCATCATCATCCGTCATCATCCATCATCATCATCATCAAAACTTATTATCATCCACCATCATCATCATCATCATCATCATCAGTCTTGACCATTGTATTTAACCCTTAGAAGTCAATATGTAACGTCGGCACTTCCAACAATCAGAAAATATTGGTTTATTCCCCTGTTGAATTATTTAATTGGTAATTGGCTAAAATTAATAGTTACATGTGGTTTCCAATATGTTTTTGCATAAAGAAAAAAGAATATGACTCCATTGGTACCTGAACAAATGCTATAAACAAAAAATAACTGAAAAGCAGTAGAATAGTTAACGGAAATGTACTTATAGCTGAAGTAGGAGAGTCGGGTAAATTTACCCCAGGCCCTAGTCTAGATTTATTAGGGGGCATAAAGTAATGCAAAAAAATTAAGATTTACGCCTATGGCTAAGCCCAGGGTGACGCAGCATTTTTTAATGCTATATGTATTACAGTATTTACATTATTTGATTCTACAGATTACTGGCATCCTCTCCCTCTCCCACACACCCCAGGAAAAGAGTAGGCTATTGTTTTTACATCACAACCAAATTTAAAATATAATGAGTAACTAGCCTATAGGAATTTACAGTAATCTACCGAAAAATGGAAATGTATTTTTACAAATCGAGTAAATGAGCCTAAACCCCTAATTGGTCAGTTTCCGTGGATTTTCTTACTGGATCACTACCGATGTCCGACCAGGCCCGCTTACACTTTCGTCCTCTTTTTAACACTTTTTCTCACTCTTTTTAATACTTGGCTTGACTGACGGGGGGTGTGGGGCACCCCCCGCTGGATCCGCCACTGATGGTTGTTTACTCCGGAAAAATACTGTAGCCTAATCCAAGTGTAAACAGAGGCCAGGCACACTAGCCACGCCACGCAGGCAGTATCTGAATTGATTTTAATCCGGGTTCTTAATAATGTCAACAACGCGCTCAGTTATATATTGATAGCGAGCACTGGTCTCTCACTCGTTGCTTATAGATCGAGCGTAGCACACCGATAAACGTCGTGCAATAGGATCATTTTTTCACCATGCCTTCATATAAGCTGCTTTACTTTAACGCAAGAGGCCGGGCTGAGAACGCACGGACGCTCTTTGCAGTTGCCGGTGTCGCCTATGAAGATAAACGCATTGAGCAAGGGGAATGGGGATCTTTAAAAAGCAGTAAGTTGGAACAAGAACTATAAGACTAATAACTATGTAGTGAATCGTAGAGCATTTTGGTCTACATTATTGATATTGCAAACGCGGGGAAGGGACAACTATTTGGGGATGGATGTGGGATTTTGGATGCTTTTGGAATATCATACGTTATTTTCACCCCATACTACACCTCAATTGTTTCTTCCAGTTCCTCATTCAAATAAATGCCAGGCTCTGGAATAGAAAATAATATTGGATATAGGACCTATGTTGTAAAACTGATAGAAAAAAAGGTGTTTGACGAAAAAACTCGTGAACGGTTAATGAGAGACATATTTTTTTAATATTTAAAAACTGAAGAGAAGTGGAAAATGGGTGGTTACGCCCTTTTCCCCTGGGCGCAGTTTGGATTCCCAACCTCGAGGTCGGGGTTTCAATCCCCTCGCTGTTCATTTCACTTGTGTCTCTGGTCAAGGCACTTTATCTGCATTACTTCTCTCCACCCAGGAGTATAAATGGGTACCTGGTAGGGTTAAATGCCAAAATGAGCTGATGTACTGCTGCAACTTTATGAAATACCCACAAGGAGCTTGAGTTTGTGTTCCAAATGCGTTTAATCCAATGACCGGGGATAGTAATGTATAATCTAACATATTATTTAAATATTAAAAAATCCGTATCACATTAAGCATTCCCGAGTTAAAAAACAGCCCAATAAGATTTTAAAAAGCCATAGACCTAGGCCCTTGCAATATATTATGGTATTGTTCAGAAGATTTTGAAATCGTTCTATTATTGAAGTGGGGAAAGCCCTTCAATACCCCCAACCCCACCCCCACCCCATACAATGTATTGGGGGAGGAACGAAGTGTCTGGGTTATTTCCCATCGCGATACAATGTTAAAAGCCAAATTAGAGTCTAAAATGACATAGAGCTAATTGATATGCAAATGTTTTTAACGAACTTATTTATTATTATGTAGGCCTACCACTACAGTATTTTCCCAGGCACCTTTTAATTAGTTGAGCATGGTTTAAATCTGAAGTGACGCCCCAACATTATTTGTATAAGCATGGTCCATGGTATAAGGACAAAGAATAACAAAACCCTTTTCAGAAATCGGTATGAAGTGTACGCTTGGTTATGAGTAAAAACCTCTGTAAACGTTCCGGATGGTCAGGAAATGATAAATACATGTATTTGGTTTTCAATACCTGGCTTTATTTTGCCCTCGACCGGTAGTCGTCTTTGTTTGTCGTACATCGATTTTTCCTAATTTAAATTTCGGGTAGAATGACTAAGCAGTTATTATAGTTGACAAATGATGTTAGTGTGGCGGGTTTTGCTCAAAGATTGCTTGGTAATTTCATATAAAAATATATTTAAGTTAGATGAATCGTGGCAGATAATCAGAAGGAATGGGTGTCAGCGGGGTAGGGGAGGACATAAATTGTATGGAAGAAAAAGGAAGTACATATTCTCGTTACCTTTTAGTAGATTCTAAGATCGATTAAATAAGCATTTGTACCTCTCCAACTGGACACCATTCGCGAGATTTTGAGCGACGCCCAACCACGCCCACTAAGCTCTCGTCGGGGAAATCGTTCCCTCTCGTCAGGGACATCGGACTCCTGGCGCCACCCTTACTCGGTAAACATTTCATCACAAAAATATAATCTGAAAAGCTGCCAGTCCTTGTACTCCACTTCCGCCCAACACCCATTTTTGAGACCCTGGATCAACTTCAGATGAACGCCTATCGTTTCGATCGAGTGTAGTTTGCAGTGGCGTATATAGGGGTACGCGGGGGGGGGGAGCGCACGCCCTCCAAAAATTACTCGCGCCCCCCCCCCCACCACCACAATCTCCCCTAGAAATCAACTAAAATCACATTGTTTTCCAAATTAGCGCCCCTCAACTGATCATTGAGGGATCCCCATAACCTTCGCCCCCCCCCCCATCAGCACCCCATTTCAAGACTTCTGGATATGCCACTGGTGGTTTGATGTGTGGGGTGGAGGCATGTTTGCGGTCAGTGGTAAGGTAGGTGTGTGGGTGGACGAGTGCGTATGTGTGTTTGAAAATGGTGCTTATTCGCATATACATCCCGATAACACTACGTAGTACAGTACCTGGCATTAGTATCAAATTCATTCCTAAAAGAATCATCACTGCTAGACGGGAATAACATGTCTTACAACAAGCGTGAGTTTGCTATGACCGGAAGCATCCACATCGTTAATCAACATTGATTCTTATTTAATAATTATTGAGAGGTTAATTTCGAGGACTTTCAATTGATTTACAGGTCCACCACAACTAGCAATTCACTCACTACTGCTAAACATTGATTTAGAAGAAACACTACAGTAATTTTCGTTTGAACAGGAATAAGCATAATATTAATTATATTTTCCTGATTCTTTTTTTTTTTTTTTTTTTTTTTTTTTTTTTTTTTTTTTTGTTTTTTTTTTTTTTTTTGTTATTTTGTGATATGAACTGATTGGTGGATTGGTTGATTGATTGATTGATATAATCAATAATAACGATGTACTAATTACACGATTCTGATACCAATAACGAATGATTCCAATAAATGATTAACTTTATAGACAGGGCATAAACGTAAGAGGTTTACGGTGTAAAATGTACGTTCAATGTTTTCATCTTCAAAGGCGCGAGTAAACGTTATGACGATTACATATTCAACATGCAACTACATTGTTTTCAACAGAACTTAATTTCGGAGTGATGCCAAGCTTGCAGGTAGACGGCGTATCAATATCGATGTCTCAGGCAATCGCAAACTACCTAGCCCGTGAATTCGGTAATTTTATTCAGAACATTTTGTACATTGTAAAACACTAAAAACTGTAAAATTGTATAAGTGATAGGCCTATGCTACCTTAGTGATGTTTACCTTAGATATATGAAAGAGGCAAGAGTTTGTATGTCTGTCATGTATAATAGTGTAGTTTAAACATGTTGATAGAAGTAATTTGGATTGGATTGGATTTATTCGGTGTAAACACCAAGGATAGCCCACGAACGTCTAGAAAGAAGATTTATTTCCAGGGGCTCTCCCTGGCGGTGATTAGGCAGACAATCCCTTGCTCTTTTCCAAAGAGTGTACTGTGTTTTTTAACGTGCACATGGGCCATAAATGCACACACGACGCCAACGACTAAAACGTCTCATCTCATCCGAAAGACGGTGCGCTATTGTAACTTGTCCTCCAGCTTAAACACAAGGAGAGGCAGCAATGGGAATAGAACCGGGGACTTAGAGATCTCCACGATTCATCACACACACAGTGACATCCACCAGATTAGCCGACTGAGCTAAGCTGCTCTCAGATGTAACAATGGGAAAGCAAGGAGTTCCAAGTATTAATGTGAAGGTGTTATTGTGTGCCACCTGGGTTTAACAAGTTTTAATGCGTGGCCTCTGGTATGCTATGGGGTTGCCCTTCGTTAGATCTAAGGGAAACATTGAGCAGGATCTATATTCTCTTATCCATTGAGTATCTTGAAGACCTCAATCATGTCACCTCTCGGCACCCATCTTTCTTCCAAAAATTAGCAAGTCTAAGTCATGCCAATCTTACACCGTAGGCAAATTACTTAACTTTTAGAATACTGTACAAATATATTTCCTATAGCCTTACGGTAAGTGGACCAAGGCTGAACTGAATAATCCATAATTGGTCTGACTAAAGATTCATGGAAGAACCTTATTCATAAAGTAAAAGGCATGTTTAAATACTGCCAATCATAGAGCTTGCTGTAGCTACACGGTTAGATGATTTAAGAGTGGTCTAGAGGTTAACGTGTACACCAAGATCTTTAATTTCATGATGTAGTGGTGATTAAGACATGTGATTTATTTTCAGGTCTATACGGCAAAAGCAATCTAGAAAGTACACGAATTGACGTCACTTACAACGCACTCGTGGACATGGTGACTCTACTCTACGATTACATATTTGCTAAGGATGATGCTAAGAAGGTATTATTGTTAATTATGATTATGGTCACCAACAAGAAGGGAACATTTCTCATAGGCGTTTTATTCTTCCAGAAGCTTGAAAGAGAAAAACGGGGTTCTCGGGAAGAATTAGGGCATGTTTAGTGTTTGCATAGTAGTTTAGAGGTCTACACCAGGACGTCGCAAGGAGGAGCGAATTTATTAATTCGTCGGGGAAAAAATAGACCCCATAAGCCTTTCAAATCCCTATATTTCAGTAGCGGGCGATTCGCCCCCTGATCCCCAATTTGGATTCACTTAGGCCTACTGATACGCTCTAGTAGGAATTCCGGAAATTCCAGTCCGTCAAGGTAGTTGCCCCCCCCCCCCGTCCGTCATGGACAAGGGCCCTTCCGCCGAGCAAATCTTGGCGTAACCACTTGCCTACGCCAGTTGCTTTCCCATTGAGAATTGGATATGAGGCTATTAAAATTAAGAAACAGTTTCATGAAATCGAAAACAGAGGTTCATTCTTGGAATATTACCCTTAGAATTGTATTTTTTTTAGTGCTGTGTATTATTAATTTTGTTCTTAATACTACAGAAAGAATGCATGAAAAAATTTTCTGACAAGGCCGAGAGCTACGGACCCGGTTTGGAAAAGTTCCTGATGGAAAACGGTGGAGGCGACTACTTCGTTAAAAGTGGAGTACGTTTAATTTTCAATTATAATACGGAATAGGGGATTAACTTTTTTCTTTTTTGTTTATGTCAAACAGCGAAATTACACCACTTTCCTAAGTGGCATATCCCTTCAGCAAGACAAACATATACAAAAGATGCTCTACATAAAACTAAGTTGCATTATGAGGCTTAGAGAGTGGTGGTTTTGATCGTGTGAAGAAATCATGTAAACTTTAAAGAAATTGAATCCATGACCGTGACATGGAAGGCAATCATCCTAACCACTTCACTTTGTGATGTGACTTAACGTTATAAAGGCGTTAAAAGGTGGTTTCAATAAAATGTAGACTCATTAAAAAATCCACACATTTTAAAAAATGGGATTACAAGGAATTGCGAAATTCACCCCACTATATTGGGGTGAATTTTCGCAATTCCTTCTAAATTTCCATTATTATATAAGACTTCCAAGTTATTGATCTAATGTATTGAGTCCGAATTAATTGCAAATACAACTTCATTTTCATGTGGGATTTCTTGGGCTTATAAGTTATAATTAATTTGAAGCCCACATTGATCGTTCCACATCATTTGAAAAATTTATGTGAAAATCGTAAAAGAAATGTTTAATGACAACTAATAAAATGTTATTTTTGATTCGCAGTTGAGCCTGGCTGATATCGCATTTTTCAACGCATATTCAGAAATGAAAATCCATAAACCCGATGTTCTAGACAAAACACCAAAACTGAAGGCCTTATATGACCGTGTAGCGGCCAACGAAAAGATTGCCAAATGGGTTAAGACAAGACCAGAGACACCATTTTAGAATATGTAATAAGCCTAAGTAATTTAGATTTCAAAAAACACTGATGGCCAACACTTTTGTATCTTTCATTATTATATTCACATTGCAATTGAATTATTTTGTTACGCACAATATACGGTAAAAGATTAAAAGTTGATTTACACTTTTATAGGAAAGACACAATGTTCAAAGTGCTGTAGACCAATGCACTGAAACCGGGATTAAATTTTAACACTTCACTACATGTGTAATCATGGACCTATTTATGATCAAAAGGTCCATCGGTTAATGAATGTGCCGTAGCAAGATGCTGGAAAAAGATAAAAATATATTCATTAATATGAATTTACATGGGTTCTTCACGTTTGCAATATACTCTTGTACATCCTTTTACCAATGAATTCGCTTATTTTCATTTTAATAAATATTGAGCATGGTCTTGTTCTTTTACTTGATATCTTTTTCGTCTCATCTGTTACGGTACCTGATTGCCAAAATGCCATCAACATTCATATCAAAATTTCATTGTTATGTAATTAATTAAAGTAGGCAAATACAATTTTAAAATTGATAATAATTTCATATGAACCCCAACCTTATGGTGTTCATGAAGGCAGTGATGCGCATTTAATGTTCTGAAAACGGAGTGAAATTATCTAAAAATTAGTTTAACCTTTAAAATATTGGCCAGCACAGAGTTTTTACTGTACATTGGTTAATGGCAAACCCGCCGAAGACATATATTCATCAAAGAAAGGTAAATACGTGTTGGAATAACGGACATTATTGTCATCGAGCAACATGCTACGAATGTTGTAATAGATAAATAAATAAATAAATTGTGTAATGAAAGTCCACCAACGAGATTCGAACCTGCGACCTCTCGTTGTAAAGGCGAGCGTCATAATTCCATTAGACCACAGAGAGGTTTCATGGTTGAACAGATTCAAATAACCGTTAGGTGCAACCTATTACACAATGGGCAAGAAATATAGAATAGTAGCATATAATATAGGCCTAGTCCTAAATCAAGATAGCCGCTAACACTGTTAAATTATATAGGCCTAATTATAAATCATCCGAAGTGTTCGAATATGATGGTACATCGTGTAGCATCTCTCAACGAATGTTGTCCTCCATAAATAAATGAATTCATTGTGTAATAACCTGATTCGAACCTGTGACCTCTCGCTGTCGAAACGAGCGTCATAACCATTAGAACACAGAGGCTATTGAGATAGTAGGCATACCATTGCTGTTTTGCATATAGCTGGCCCACTACTAGACCTATAAGTAGTTTGAGTACTCTTGGCATGCTTGATTGTTTCATAGATAGCTATAATAGGGTCGGTGGTTCATCAATAAAAGATACTAGAGACACAAGAAAGGAGAGTTCTCGAAAGGGAAAAAGAATGTTCCACCGAAATGCATGGTGACACACAAACAATGGGTCGCCGCGTACGGCTGGATCTAAAAAACTTCTGCCACCGTTACATAATTGTGAATACAACCTCCTTTTGCGTATGTTGAAATCGTTGCCATTATCCGTAAGATAAAAACAAGTATGCATAAATAAATTAAAACAATAAAATGGCAGACACAAAAGAGCAGAATCGTATGTCCGGACTCTGATTAGTGATACAGTTTTCCTCCATTAGTGGAAAAAGAAAGGCGCCGTGTGCGTTTGATCAGCGTGACCACTCACAATTTTTGATATAGCCAATGACTGGGTCGAAATTACCCAAGATTCATCAAAAATTGCCCAAAATTACCCAAGCTTCCTGAAAATGCATTGAAATTTGAAAAAAAACCGTGTATAGTTTCCCTTTTAGTTAAATTTATAAACTATTTTTTATTGTAATTGTTTGTGTTAATTATTAAAATTAATATTCATGAGGTGATATTACGGATAGAAAAATACGCCCTCAGTCGGCCAGTGTTATCAGTAGATCAGTGATCAAGTTTTATTATGTAATGCATTAATTAGGTAAGATCAATGGCAACGCAAATCACAAATAAACAATTCTGAACCCATGTTTATAGCAATTAACAGTCAATTAACAATGTTATGTGCACTTCGTTGAGTTTTGCTTACTTGAATGGACTGAAATATACTTTGCTACTTCTTAATTCTTCCTCTATGACAAAAAAATTTAAATTTCTTAGTAAAAATAAAATACCCAAGGATTTGAACCGAATACAATGCCCAAGAACCCAAGACCAAGTCAAAATACCCAAGATCTTGGGTAAATATCCAAGCAGTGGTCACACTGCGTTTGATATACCTAGCCAGTACCTAGCCAGAGCCATATATCAACAGAAAGGCGCCAAATACGTCTGGACTAAATATAGAAAACTTGCATTAAAGAGACGTACATCTAGACCAATTTCCGCCTCATTTTTTCAAGTATCTTTGGTTCAATCTCGAATTTATCTGAAAGGACGAAACAACGTTGTATGCAGATTGATTTAACTTAATTATAGCTCCTTAAAATTTGTTTTGTTGAGCACTCTATTTTGAGATTGTACCATTGCTGTTTTGCATTCAGCTGGCCCACTACTACAGTTACTATTTAGTTTGAGCACTCTTGGCATGGTAGGCCTATAATTACCAGCGCTTTTAAACTGCCTTGTTACAAGCTTGCTTGTTTCATAGTTACAGGTTCAATTTCAAATTTAACTGAGCTGTACTGATGAGTCTTTAAAGGACGAATCACTATCCTTTTATCTTTTTTTCCCCTCTTATTATGAGACCCCTCTAATTCAAGACTGAGACCACCTTTATGTGACAAAATGACCTCCAATTCAAGGCCGCATTTGAAAATAAAATCAAACAGATAAAAGTTTTTTTTTTAATTAAATACTCTGAAATTTTGAACCTCAACATTGACAGATGTATTTTCATAAGTTTATCTATATACATAAATGTTTCTTAATAATGATAAGCTATAGAATGGTGACATTTAAAATACCTTGAATGAACAGGCCTTAAAAGAAGCATGCAAAACGATAACATCGTTGTTAATACTACGATTTAAACGTGTTTTTTTAATGATTATGGCGTCATTTGATTTGGTTTGTCATTTTTAATAATGATAAGCTATAGAATGGTGACATTTAAAATACCTTAAATGAACAGGCCTTAAATGAAGCCTGCAAAACGATAACATCGTTGTTACTACTACGATTTAACGTGTTTTTTTTTTATGATTATAACGTGAAAAATTATCAATTCCTGATGATGACATCAAATCGAAAAGTATCGAAATGCACGCCATCGTGTGGGGATTCAATATTTCGACATTATTTATGTCATCATCAGGAATGAAAAATTAATTAATGTCGAAATATTGAATCCCAACACGATGGCGTGCATTTCGATACTTGGAGTATGTATTATACTATCTTATTACTATACTGTTCTTTATATTATGTTTACCTACGGTAGGCCTATGAAATCTTACCGATTTATGGGATGTAGGCTACGTCTGTAACTAACTGTGAGCTTCTTGTATGTTTGTTATCAAATGTAATACTACCTACAACAACAACAACAGCTACCCACTTCTATATAGTGTAGTAATAGTAGTATAGGTACATTCCTATCAAAGGCAAGAGCAAAAGAGGCTAAACTAGTGGGTCTAGTTACAAGCTGTGTTAGGTCCTACCTGCTAGCCCCCTCCCCCGACTAGGCCCCTAGGTTCCTGCCTGATCTGACACAATAGTCACGCTTCGCATGCCATTGGCATTGACTGAAAATTTGAAGGGAAAAAAAAATAAAACAGGAAATTTATATGGGACAGTGAGTAAAAAAATATTATTAAATAATAATAAATTAAATAATAATAATTTTAATAACAATAATAATATTAATAACAATAATAATAAAAAAAATAATAATAATAATAATTAAATAACCATATATAATTTCGCCATTAATTAACTTAGCCTAAGCCTTGTAATCAAGAAGCATCTACATGCAGTACAATACTATATTAGACCTGTAATTAACAACTATAAGCATAACTAGGCCTCATTCATTCATGGTATACGCTGCTATTTTGGCAGGTCCTTTGATGGCATCATCATTTTAATAGAGTCCGCTACCGGGATATGATACACGCTGCATGTAATTAAGATTCCTTCGACTTATGGTATAGATATTTTTTGTAAAAGAAATGTTTTCATCCAATTTTTGTATTCTGTTATGCTACAATCATTCTTTGACTTCATGTGGGTAAATATTATAATTTTTATTTTCTAAAATTTAATCTAAATTGTATCAGGAAACAGAATTAGATTATATTAACGCAAATTTTATTTCTAAACTGACCAATCGGCCATGTTTGTTTTGGTCACGTGGATTAACGGCTGCACTCTCTGGTTACGTTAATTTTCGTTGTCAACGAACCAGTCGAATGAAAATAATACTTAACGAAAATTCGTAATCAACGAAATGAACCAGTCGAATACGCCCAATGTTATGTTTTTTTGATTGACTGGATGACTTAGTTACCGTACCTTATAGCCGGTTGACAATGTAAACAACCAGGGAACTAAGTATCCACTGAGAGAATATAGTTCGAATGTATTACAGTATTTCGGGTTATATTTGGCCTTAAATTTTAATTAAATTAAATATTTTCATATCTCATTTTGGGTTAAAATATGATTAAGTAAATTCTGGATAGAATGTTTACTAAGAAGGTGCAAATTAAATAATGCGGATGGATTTTCTATTTGGAAACATTTGTAACGTGGCTGGATCCCAATTCAACTTTTTATGGACAGGCCTAGGCTAGGTCTATCGCTAAACTTTGTTGTTAAATGACTATATAGACTATGGCGGTACTAAGGGTGTATGTTGAATATGGGTCCTAAGGTGAAACTCAAGCCGTAGAATGGCCAATGCTGTTCATGAAATGCCAGCATATTCTAGTAGTAGGAGCTCATCTAGGCCTAATAAAGTTACACGGAAGCAACAGGAACCACCAAGGCACCATCAAACTAACCCGCGTATTCGGCGAGGTCTTCAGATGAGTGAACCTGTGTCTTCCCTGCCTAAAAAGCACTCTGCATCAGCTGGAAGGTGCTTAGGAAAAGCAGGCTTGAAGCCAAGGCCCCCAGTATGTGACAGTGGTTTGCTTGTAGGATCAGCAGTGACTAGGCCTAGTCCAGAATACTCACTGAATGAACAAACAAATGTCATTCGTTCAAGGGCTCGATGCCGTAAGCCTTGGGAGGTAGGCCAAGTTCAATTTAATTATTAAATAATATTTTTGGATTTCTTGCTGCCTGACCATAGGCATTGAGTATCCCTTCATTTCGGTCGCGATAGTTTTGTTAATGCATTTCGGTCGCGGTGTATGGGGCGCCGAATCAAGAAGGGAGAACAAGGTAGCTAAGCAGATGGTATTTTTATAAACACAAAACTTACATTACATTACTGTAACATATAGTTTCATTTGTTTTCTTGTCTGTTCACGTTTCCATTTATTTTTAATGTTCTTGAATTACCTTGAACCTAGGACTAGAGCATTAGCTCGTTTGTCCTCCAGTCATCATAACTCTTCAGAAACATGGGCGGAACTTGAGATGATCATGTTTATCATTTTAATAAATGAACATATACTGAATGATATATGATGAATGAAAATGAAGAAAATATATAGTATTTTAGTATTAGTATAGTATTTTCATATGAATATAATTAAATGCCGTACATTTTAATGACCGGTTTCAGGCTTCTTTTATATTCACAAGCCCGACAAAATCACTCTTGCTAGTCCTATTTAGTTGTACTAGAATTTAATTTCCCCCCCCCCCCTACTCCCCAAATAGATTCCCATGGTACTCTTGAGGTGAAGCAGGCACAGGGTTTGTATTTTCTTATTTGTTTTATTTCCATTTTTGATACATATTCTGATGTTTATAAAATACATAGTAAAATGTAGTTTTAATATGTACAGTAATTTTAAATACATATAATAGTCGTTCCACAATTTGGGGCTTCTTTATAAAGCTACAAAAATTCACTACTTTAAGGCATAGAAGTTTCCTGGTACCTAACTATAAAAATCAGAATAGAAAGAAACTTTCCGACAACCAAGGTTCCCACAGTGATCATGAGGGTAAGCAGGATTATTCTTTGTACACTGCAAATTTAAAGACAAAAGTAGGTCAGATTCTAAAAATATGACTAGCTATTTTAGCAGGTCATGGCAATGGCAGTAAGGTGTTCACTGTGCGTTTACTTCATACATTATCTGCTATCTGCTGCCGATCATGTTTTGTTTAATGTTTATTAAATACACAAATAAAATAGTAAAATATAGTTTAAATAAAAATGTAAAAATGCATCCATATTTTAATAATATTAAAATATGTATAATGTTTCTGATATAAAAGTATATTTGATTAAACAAAGCAAATCAAAATTGTAACAACACACATAGGCCTTTATTATGAATAATTCCGAAATTGATAATTATGTACTTGACTTTTCAATTCTGGATCTGTAAGAAGAAAAAAAACACGCTAAAATTATATTCAAATTAATTGTAATTAATAACAATCGTAAAAAACTTAAACAACAATATACAAAATAATACAGAAAGTATTAGGCCTACTGGATAGTCAAGCATCGTAAAAAAGACATAATAAATAAAATTAATACTAAGTCTGCAACACACGCACAAAAAAAACTTTCCAAACATAAACCACTAGTACGTACATCGGCGTTCCATACCGCGACCAAAATGCATAACAATACGGCATGACCGAAATGAAGGCGTGACCGAAATGATCTGTATTCATCTAGCCTAGCCTAGGTCCTAGGATTTATTGCTACGTAAGAAGTCTAGGTGGCTATGCGTAATCCCAAAACAAGAACTAATGATTACAAAATGACATGGATATGTTATGAATAACCTGCCTGGGGCTATAGGAGGTTTAGGCCTTAATGATAATTTTAATTTTTTGAACTATACTTTGATACATTCATACATTGCTCTTCTGTTCAATATACCTGATTATTAAACTTTGTCCTATACTGTGTACATATATTTTTTAAAATACAATATTTATTATAATTTAACAGGCAGGAAAATTGATTTTTTTTTAAATAAAGGCCTAGGACATCCCAGATCCTGCATATTTTGTTGTGGTTAACAAATTTTTATTATATACCGTATAGTATCATGAATATTATAAGCAGGGCATTCAACTAAGTAATAAGTAACCTTTATTTTTCAGGCATCACCGTTCCTCAGTGTCAATACAGTATCACCGGATAAAAAAACTGTTACGGGTAAGTTCAAGGAAAGATAAGGAGGTACAATACTTGGTGAGCTAGAGATAATATGTTACATCTCCTATCCTATACAAAACTGCTTGTAAATTAACTGTACCTGTAGATTCAACAGGCTACTGTGTGAAACCAGTGTAATCAAACTATACTTATTGCTAGTCATATCGTCACATACTGTAATTACCAACTCTGAGAATGTGAAAGTGTGAATGTATGCGAGTGGACTTTTGGGGCAGCCTTGTGACAAGGGAGATTATAGGGATTTATATAAGTAATAATAATTATACTTAATTTATACTTAGATGAAGATCATGAACCAGCGCCAGACACCAGGCGAGGGCAACGGAAGTCTGTCCGACCAGTTAGAAAGGAACGCAAACTTTCCGCAAGAAACCAATCGTGTAATGGTCGGCGTTCTCAGACACCGAGGGTGCTCTCCAGGTGTACGTCTAGAGGGACTCCGTTTGACTTTTATTCATTTTATACACACAAGTAAGAACGTAGTGAATGACATACAATAGTGTAAAACATTTCAATATGAATGTTGTATTAATTTTTATTAGTGATTTCTAGTTGTTTTTTTTCTCAAATAAGATGTTATAAGCCTACACATTGTCAATATTTGAACACACAAAAATAAGCTGTCCTTGGCTTTATATTAATATCCACTATATAAATATTTGATTATTATTATAATTTTTTTTTTTTTTTTTTTTTTGCTACATCTCTTTTATTTACAGTACTTATGTAGTCTGTCTAAGTTTAATTCTATTTTCTTGATTTAAATTTAATTTTATTTTTGTGCCGACTTCAAAATTGTCATTTGCACTGTTTGATTAACGCTTTTCACACTAATGATGCATTCCATCCAGCATGGGTTCATGTGATAAATGCATGATTTGCACCTAGCTACTCCCGAGTTTAAAATAACAGTTTAAAAGTGAACTATTTATTCAGGATTGTAAATCTTCAGAAACTTTTCTGTTTAACTACCTCATTCTTTGGATTGGTCTACACAAATAGCACAAAACAGAATGAACACTTTTGAAATGTCATTCAACCTTAACAACTGGCCAATCAGGAGAGAACCAGGAATACATATTGTCTTAAAAAAACATGCATTTTAATAAGTTTATCATTTTGTAGGACTGTCTGGCAGGACTAGTTAGTCAAGCAGGGTAATAGCTTGTCCCTCTTGTGCTAACCAGTTGTGGGTCCACATGGGCCTTATCCAAATTTTCTTTAATTTTCAGCAAGAGTCTCTCATATACATTATAATTACATTTACATATTGTAGATAATTATCACCTGCATGACTTGTTTTTAATATCAGGACATCACAATTCATCACCTATTGGCACATCACAATAATAAAATACAGCATTTCTTAACCTTGGCTAAGTCATTCAATTATGTCATAATGGTAATGGTACGATATTTGTAGAAAAATAAACAAACAAATAAAACATTTTTTTTTAAATAAATAAAATAAACAAACAAGCCTCTCTGGTAACGAAGTGAGACGGCAGCCAAAAATTTAATTAAGCGAATCATAATTTGGATGTTATGATTTGAGTAAATGTCTAAGATGCTGTGTGTGAACTCTGTCTCTTATACACATCTAGATGTGTATAAGAGACAGGTCCTATACTGTGTACATATATTTTTTAAAATACAATATTTATTATAATTTAACAGGCAGGAAAATTGATTTTTTTTTTTAAATAAAGGCCTAGGACATCCCAGATCCTGCATATTTTGTTGTGGTTAACAAATTTTTATTATATACCGTATAGTATCATGAATATTATAAGCAGGGCATTCAACTAAGTAATAAGTAACCTTTATTTTTCAGGCATCACCGTTCCTCAGTGTCAATACAGTATCACCGGATAAAAAAACTGTTACGGGTAAGTTCAAGGAAAGATAAGGAGGTACAATACTTGGTGAGCTAGAGATAATATGTTACATCTCCTATCCTATACAAAACTGCTTGTAAATTAACTGTACCTGTAGATTCAACAGGCTACTGTGTGAAACCAGTGTAATCAAACTATACTTCTTGCTAGTCATATCGTCACATACCTGTCTCTT